GACCCTGATCAAAATTTCAGAGCTGCTAATAATGAAACCCAGTTTTTGCTACATAAATTTCAATGAAAAATACATTACACTCAGCAGCTGATGGAATTCTTCCAATTCTTTTAAGACATTAGAGAAAGTATAGTTAAACCCCTACTAAACCTGTTGAGAAATCCATAGATAAGGGAATCATCCCAAGCACACTGAAGTAGGGAAATATAAATTCTGTTTTGGAAGCAAAGTTCAGCCTAAAAAGACCATTGAGGCTAACATCTCATGTAGAGAAAATATTAAAAGGGGAAGTAAGAAGAAAAAGTCCAGTAATTAGGACAGGAAAATAAGGTAAAAGCTGAACAGCATGGGTATAGAAAGAGCAGATGCTGTCTCTCCCAGATCCTGAATAACTGCAAACACATACTAAGAGATCTAAGCGAGAATAAAGAATTTGATATAGTATACTAAGACCTTGAAAAGCATTAGATAAGATTAATCATGGAATTTTAATTAATATGGTAAATGACCTTGGGAGAAGGAGGAAAATTATATCCTAACAAAACACAAACAAAAAATAATTATCAATAAATATTAATCTACTGAATACTCATTCTAATGAATACCACAAGAAGTATTCTTGAACTCCTACTGTTCCTAATTATGATTGGAGAAATCAATGCAATGATAAATACACTATCACGTTTGATAGAGGATGAAGACAAACTAAGAGAGGTCCTATATGCCATTTGTAATTGGGCGAATGAAAACAATATGAGTTTCAGTCCTGACAGCTTTTAAATCATGATAGAGACCAACTGAAAGTCCAGGACCAAGATCATACTTTGTTTAAGGGATAGAGATTACAGAAAAGGTAGTTGTAAAAGACCTAACCCTGTTTATGAGTAATTATTTGAGCTTGTCATCACATTGAACAGGCAGCCAGTAAATGATGGATGATGATGAGAACTCTTCAAACAAGAGATCCCCTACTGTCATTGTGGAAAACGTCATTGCAAGTATGGAATCCAAGTCTAACAAAAAGGATAATATTGCTAGAACAGGTTGAAGGAGTCTTCACCTCAAAAATAGACAACATGGCAGGTCTTAGTTATAGGGAACGGCTAAAACAGCCCAAGCTTGGCACCTAATCCAAGAGAGGTAGAAGAGCTGGAATCAAGGTTAGACACTCCCCAGGCAGGGAAGAACATGTCATCGTTCTGGGACATCTGTCCAGATTTCACCTCCATAAAGCAACACTGTCACTACCAAGGCTTGAAGACATGTATTTTGGTCCTTCTCCACAGTTACTGACATCTCCAACTACTCTTATTGCTTGAGTTCATGGCTCCTGCTGCCAGACCAATCCGTCTACTGATTTCTTGAATTAACAGCCCACAGACTGCACTACCAAGATATGTAAAACTCTTTCAGATTAAAACGTCATCTCCACAAGCATGTACAGACTGAACAGGTTCCCCTATAGGTACGGTCAGACCTATAAATATCACTGGAATCCAGTGATCTTCAGTGGGTTGTAACCAACCCACCCATCCGTGCTGTTCACACTGTGAAAAGAACCATCAGCTCTGTCCACTAGATTCGCGACATCATCACGTGACTCTAACTCTTGCTACTTTTTCATATTTCCTGAGTTATAGAAAATATAACAAAAGCAAGAAAAACAAGTTAGGATTCTGGGTGACGCCATGGTTACAGAAAAAGGACCAGAGTGCTTTTCAAAAGTTAATTCAAGAAACCAGTTAAGGGAGGCAATATTTGTATTTACGTTTATCACAGCATTTTACCGGGTAAACCATATTTTTAATATTTGAGATCATATTTAGTAGTAATTCTGGAAATTCTCGATAGTCCTATTTCAAGCTCCTTCTTGCTGTGAACGTAAAGAGGATACAATGTTATGGGGTAGTAGGGGGAGCATAGCCCCCCTTCTACCCTCAAGATGTCACTTAACTAGTACATTTTGCAGAAAATATATATAGTTTTTTGACACAATCAAAGTGCCATTTAGATGGAGAGGGGGAAACAAGACTGTAGGGCAAAAAAGATGAATATAAAAAGTTATGATGACTACCTTATTTTGACATATTTAGTTTTTTAGAATATTCCCATTAATAATATTTCACTGAGTAAACATTTCCTTTTTACGGGAGAATCTCATTGCTCGCTGGCATTTCGATATCAGATAAGCCATAATTTGATCACACATTATACCAGAAGTCTGGAGGGCAATTTATTCAGTGTTAAAGGATGTTCATCTGAGGTAAGGAAGCAAGTAACAAATGATTTTCATAGCAGCTGGAATTTCCCTATATGTATTGGGGTCATGGAAGGAAAACGTTTTCTTCTAAGGAAACCACAAAATATAGGATTATAAGGGGCATCATAGTATGATGATGTTAACCCTTGTTGATTCTCATTACAGATACTGGAATGTTAATGTGGGAGCCGAGGGACAAGCAAGTAATGCAGGTGTGTGGGAACGATGTAAATTAAGAGAATATTTAGAAGAGGATCCAATACCATTTACAGATTAGAAAGTTCCACGTGTAATTGTTGGTGATGAAGCCTTTCCCCTTAAAAGGTATCTGATGAAACCCTACCCCGGTCAGAACTTGAGTACTTAATAAAGAGTATCACGTGCTCGCCGTGTACCAGAGAATGCCTTTGGTATTTTTGTTGCCAAATTTAGGGTATTTCACCAGCTCCAGGATTTAAGAGACTTGCTAATGTTGGAAGAAGGTTGGAAGAAATACTTTCAAAGACTACTTGGCAGGATGCTGCTGCCCTCTTGCATTGATCCAAATTGTATTGGTCTTTTGATGTGATATTGCTTCGTTTTTTTTGTATTTAGTTCCCTACTGTATTGTCATAATATATTAAATGATATGGTGTATAGTTTAGGGATTGTCACTTCTTTATCATACATCACAGTTAAAATGCCTGGTTCTATTTAAATATATATACATAAATGTTTTATAATCATGTTATTGTTTACCATAGTTCTTTTTGGGTAATAGATTGGAGTAACTAAATTGGTTTGATTCAATCCATGCCCAAGGAATCAATAAATAACTATCAAATGATGCTACAGACTACAAATAAAAAAGATGGGCATAAAAATGTTAAATATTACCACCATGTAAAGATTGATAAATATAGTTAAGGCTAAAAAAAATAACTCAGTTTAGGTATACATTAATTAGAATGTAACAATTTTTGAATAACAAATATGGAAAATAGAATCTCTTATTGTTTTTATTTTCTATTTTAGAAAATGGTGTGACAATCTAAGTTTATCCCATAGAAAATATATTACAACAATATCCTTATAACCTAAACTCTCTGAATAAACAAACTATATAGAAAAGTAACCGATAATGATAAAAGACCAAAAAAAAATAGCATACAAAAAATATTGACTAACTACATTCATGACTACATAAAAATCACTAATAGATTAATCACAGTAACAAATTGTACTGTTTAACTTTCAAAACAACTGCACAGTTTTTGACGTCACAACACTACTTGTCACTACATATGTAGGCTACTTTTATTCTTGCGCTTAGACTTTTTAAGTGTTCTAGTCACAATTACCATAAATGCTATAGAGAACTCCATATTCGCCTTCATCGGAAAGCAAGGTGATTGATTCCTTAATGACACCATAGCCTCAGGAGCCGTATCAAAGCGGATTGGCAGCTTTGAATGTTCAGTCCGTGTCTGTTCCATTTTGCCAATGGCCTTTGCCATCACTGCTCATTTTCCTCATTCTTTGTTTTCACTGCTGGGTTTCCAGCATAGCTAGTAGTAGCTGTAGGTGTTCTTACAATGACTCCTTCGGTGACATGAGGCCGAGAGAAAGGAGTTGAGCCTGACGAGGAGGAGGTTGGTGGAATTGTTATTTTGGCGAGACCCTCTTACACTCCTTTTAAATAAAGCCTCTTGAAAAGACTTCTTATCATATTTGCATATGGTTGCCTAGCTACAAATAATTTCTGTGGGTGCAATAAGTATTAATTAAAATATTAATTATGACCTTAAAACTTTAAACACACATTCAGCCGTGCTTACCAAGCCATTTGGCTGTATGAAACTGGACTCTGTAGGGCAGTTATCATACACTGACCGCAAAAACGAACAGGCGCTGAAAAAATCCCACTTCACCTGCAAAGGATTCAGGAAATATTAAATCAGAAACACCGGAGGACTTTGTGAGTGTAGAGGACACTTACATAAATAGCTAGTATTTAGGGAATAACATCCAGTTAAATGTCAGGGACTAAAGTCTAAACTAAAAAATCCAGAAATCTGATAATAATTGTTAACATGGGCTAAACTTTAAGAGTTAAAAAGCAAAACGGAATAAAAATTCCTTACTAACAACCCCATACTCATAAGTTAGAGTTATAAGTTAAAAGCAAATATTTCTAGCTTTGCATATAATTAAAGGTTGTTCGGAAAATATTGTTTTTGACGTGTGTTAGTTTTCAAGGTGTGTACTTTATTCCCCGATAAAGACCTGCGGGGGCGTTTACGAATGGTTACTATGCGTTGTTTGTGTAATGTAATCATGTAATTTCATAGAGTATACTAAAAATACACGTGGAAAGGGATTTACAAACGCACACGCACGCACGCACACACACACACACACACACATGCACACTCACACATACACAGACGCGTACACGCGAATATGCACACAGGAATACATATCATTGCTCTAAGAATAGAGGAAATAAACTTTTAGATTTTAGATCTGATATTTTTTCTTCATTCGAAATCTGATAAGAACCATGAATAATTAGTAATGCGATATATACCATTAAACAGAACATACAGAAATGAGCACCGAGGCCAACAAATAGTGTGACGTGACCCCTGGCGCCCGGCAACGCACGCGCAAAATGGCGCCCATCGCCACAGGTGTCGATGGGCGGAGCTTCGTCCCCTGCCTTCGCGGGTTATTTAGGCTCTGACACAACCGGGGAAGCGCAGAGGTGAGTGAGGTTCCAGACGGTGGTTTGCCTCGCACTTCTCGCTCGCAAGCAGGTTAGTTTGTGGTCAAAATAACTTTATAGCTTTGTTATTATTACTATACAGTAATAATGATAATATGAAACTAATTATTATTATTATTACTATTATTTCTATTATTCATTTCAATATTGAGAACATACTGATAATAGTAATAACAATTATATTGATAATAATACTATTCTTATCATAGATAGTATCCCCCTTATTATATTCATCATTCTCGCCACTAGTGATATTAATACTATCAAACTGATCTTCACTGTTAAAGTTAGCATAGTTGCTACCCTCTCATGATTTCAGCTACCTTTACTCAAGTCATTATTAGTCACTTGATTACTCATTATATTATTGTTAATATCTTAATTTTTATCTTCATTTTCATGACTTCATTATTGTTATTATCATTATCATTATACTACTAATAATAATTATTATTATATTTTGTTATTATTATTATTAGCAGTAGTACTCTTATTATCAATTATTAATATTATTATTATTGTTATTATTATCATTATTTTTTTTATTATTATTATCATTATTTTTTTATTATTATTATCATCATTATCATTATTAGTATTAGCCTATTATCACTATCAATATCATTATTGTTATTGATGTTGTTGTTATTAGTAGTAGTAGCAGTAGTACCATTATTATTATTACCGTTATTATTATGATTATTATCAATATTATTATCAATATAATTATTTTTATAATCGTTAATATTGTTGTTAGTATTTTCATCCTAATTATAATTTTATCATCATTAACTTTTTTACTATCATTACTATTTTTATCATTATCAGTAGTAGTATTAACATGGTTATAATGATAATAATGGTAATAATCGTAATAATAATAATAATAATAATTATAATAATTGTAATAATAATGATAATAATCATTATTATTATTATCATTATCATTATCATTATTACTATCACTGTCATTATTATTATCATAATTATTAAAATTATTATCATTAATATCTCTATCACCATTATCATTATTACCATCACCATTCTTATCATTATTATTACTATTGTGATATTTATTTTATGTACTGAAAAATCCTTTCCAGAGCAAATCAAAATGAGGGCGATATTCTTCCTGGCGTTGGCTGCACTGGTGAGTTGCCCCGTCAGGTCACAGGCCACCTTTTCCTCCGGGAAATGAGTGACCATTGCGTACCGGTGGCATAAAACGCCTCTCAAAAGATCCCGCAAGGGGTCCCGTTGGGGCGGGCTGCTGGGGTTGAGAAATGCTTGTTCGTGTGGGAGAGTTCAGCTGAACATATTCTTTCGACAAGCTTGAGAGTGTGCTGCATGCCCTATACCTCGTGATGAAATAGCCTGGCTGCCTTCGGGCAGACTGCGCACGCCTCAAGGCAGCCAGCGTATCGACCCTTCGCTCGCAATCTCCGTTTCGACGTTTTCAGGCCGCCGCTGAGCCGAGTCAAAGCGAGGTTAACATCGGGAACGAGCCGCAGGATGGCGATGTCCATAACAGGGTCAAGAGAGAGCTCATGGGAGACCCGGATGGCTTCGGCCCCAATATCAACGTGGATATGGAGATCAACGCTGGACCCAATGCACGCGTAGACGTTGACGTTGACGTCAACATTGGTCAGTATCGCTTTGTCTTTTTCCGTAATACTTGAGGATATGTATAATATAGTTCTTTTTTGGATACTTTACTAAAGAAAAAAAATATGTGTATGAACATGATGTGAATAATGTTTGTGCATGTTTGGTTTTCAGGGAAGAATCGGCTAGCACGTGTTTTTGTTTTGCTTTTCTTGCACTTTTTGAAAGATTTTTTGAAGCCTTTACCTCTGTTTATTAACCATGGTTATCCCCAACATCATTAGAATTACCGAAAGATTTTAGCTCGAGGACCAGCTGTTGCATTCAACGCGGATCTTGCAAGAGGAATGCGTCACGAAAGTCAGCGTGAGTTGTTTTAGACGCAGGAGGAGAAACCAGACAGACGCGCCCCAAGGCAACAGCGCAGTTACACGTGACCTTTACGGAAGGTGTTGTGTATAACTAAGAAAAGTTACTTGCAGGTCGTCATTGTGATGATAGAAATTAATTTACTTTTCAGTGGTATTTAATGTAAAAATAAAGGTTTGAAAAAATACCGATTTTATGTTAGCCTTGACAAATGTAAAAAGGGAAGCAGAATAATATCTTAACCCCTGACTACTACCGCCATATGTCTTATACAGTGGCATTTACCCGCGGCCGGATACTCACAGCGAGCTATGTGCCGTATTCCACTGAGGCAGGGGAGAGCAACCCTAGCAAATGGCGTGAATGGCAGTCTTACAACAATAACTAAAACTTAGTTTGTAGTTGCGGTGATTTTAGGTGGACATGAACCAATCGCTGAATGCTGAATACGGTGGCGAGTGTGATATTCTAATGACTGAGTTGCTTTCGGCAATCCGTGTGTTATTCCTTCCAACCCGTGTTGTATCTGTAAACAAGGCACTACAGTATATCTAGCACAAGTACTGTCGTCGCCAGGGGTGTAATGTTTTTATTCTTGTCTTTACTGCTGTTATTGTCTTTACTGTTGTTATTGTCAGTATGCTACTATCATTATTTTCATTTTAATAATCATTATTTGTGAGTGAATGGGCATCTTGATGATTCTGAGAAAAAAAATACTTTATATATAGAGGCATAGTCAATCCTTCATGACGTTTTCGGTATCATATGTCAAACGAACATTTGGTATGAATTTCAAAACATGATAAAATTATTGATGTAATATCAGTATTTGAGGAAACAATATTGTTATCCTATATCTCATGATACCTACGGATTATTCCTTTTTGTTTAAGAAAAGATATATTTGCCTTACTAATTCTTAAAATATTAGTTAAAAAGTCTTAATATACCATAAACTGGGCTCAGCGGTATGTTCATAAACGACTCATTTGATGAGTGTTTACGGTTTGTCATTGTGAAAGCAGTTTTGATGGGCCACTGAAGATCCGACGATGTAAGTGATTTACGGAGATGCAGGGTTTACGTTTGAGCAAACGTAGCCAAGTCCAAAATAAGGCGCATTAGCCTTAACCATGACTCTAGTCGCTGCAAGACGGCCTTAACTTCACGGCTCTTTCGAGCATCCGAACCTGAACGAGGATCGACCGGAGCGGGTTCTTGCATACTAGGTAGCACATGCTCTGGGTAATAAAAAAAATCATATTCAATACAGATTTAACTACAAAATTACCAACAGAAATGAGAAACGCAATATCAACAGGGGAGGCTTCAGAATTACCAAAATTTAACATAATCTTAATAAACATGTCATGTTATTGTACATAAACGAGGTTTGGATCCTCCCAAAAATCGAAGTCGGAATTAGAATTACAGTTGCTGGAATGAATTGAATGAGAATGTTTTTGGCACATTATATACTTATTTACATACAAATATTACTCAGTATATATATATATATATATATATATATATATATATATATATATATATATATATATACATGTAAATGTATACGTATGCATGATATATATCTTATATATACATATATGTATATGTATATATACATATATATGTGTAAGTGTATATATGTATATATATATGTATTTATAAGATATATGTGTATATATATACATGTATATAAATACATACACACACATATATATTGTAACAGACTGTAGGTGAACAGCAATGGAAGTCAACGTATATATGACTTACAACATATGTATGTGACCACACGCTACCTGTTGGGACAGCACTGTGTTTGGTGCCACGTGTACGGCCAGCCAGGCTGGTGGTTGACCTGGGCTTGGTGACTGCTGGGAGTGAACTGAAGGGTCAGACGAGGTCAGATGTAATCGTCATCTAGGTCCTTGCCATGTGTCATGTGTTAAACAGCCATGTTGTCTATTGGTCTAATGGCTTACACAAATTTTGCTTATGTATACGCCATATTGCTTGGTCACCTACTCATGCCTCGCCCTCGAAACGCCCTTGATTGGCCTCAAAGGGTGACCCAACCTTGGCTGGTCATCTCGTTCTCGTGTGCGTTGTCCTAGGTCCATCTTCCTGGCTGCTCGTCCTTGTCGTCCTCTTCTTCTTCCTGGTCCTTGAGGAATCCACCAGTCCTCGACATCCACATGACTTCGAAGGTCTCGCACAGGTCTTTCCTGACCTTGAATTTGTCTAGACTTGCTCGCAGTCCTTGTCCAGGTCTAACTCGGCGATGAACTCGTCCACATGTCCTCGCATATCTCGTCCAGGGCCGGGATACTCAAAACTACCCGTCCGTTACAAGGCCGAGGACGTTGTAACCGCTTTACAACATCGTACCTTTCGATCTCCTTACTACATTGTAAACCACCCATACCCAAAAAATAATTACGATGTTGTAAGCACAATGTAAGGCTCGTGTTGACATTGTAAGTTAATTCCATTGACTACCAAGAGAGGGTAAACCGGTAGTTGATTGACCAATCAGCAGTCAGACTGTTAGACGTAACAACCAATGAAAAGCCATGGTTGTCTTATTGCTACGCCTCCAACGGTCACCAACATCATGGAAGGCCCAGCGACTGTCTCCCCGAGTGATATTTTTGAAAGACTCAGCCAAGTGTTATAAAATAAATTAACTATGATGAATTTCCCAAAAAGAGAAAATGATAATATGCTGCAATCATCTTCAGGCAAAAGATAAAAATATTATATACTTTATTATTCCCTATATTTTTACGAAGTCATATATAACTTGTTACATACATTTTTTCGGAAACATAAGACCAAAAATCACAATTTCATGCGAAAGTAAATTAATGTAAAAATACATATGAATAGAATAATAATTCTTGAAAGGATTGTTTTGTTGGATATTTGACATCAAAGCAGGTTATAGTAAAACAAATCTAAGAAATCTGTGATATCGCAATAAATGCTTATCCTCTTCATTGAGAGAAACTAATGATTTCCTATAATAATGTCTTTCACGCTGCAATGCTCGGTCATGAAGATGAGCAGCCACCAAAACATTGTTGCTTGTCGTCTGTCAACTCAATTTACAGTCAATTTATATTTGATGCAAGATAATGGTAATGCATGAAAAACAATTTTTTTTTTACAATATGTGACGTCATAACATGGCGGCTAATTTTGTTTCGAGTATGGTCTTCGGAGACCTTACGACATTGTAACGGCTCCGTGGTGAGACTGGTATCTGCATTGGCAAGTTCCTGGTCCCTCTGCTGCGTCACAGCAGATGGCGTCCTTCCACTACATCCTCGGGCGGCTGAATGTTTATACTGATGAACATCCTGGTCCACAAGCCTATAGTGATCTTCCGGTAATGTCCATCACACAGCACCCTAAGGTGACTGTTTCTGCAGCAGGGATAGCTGTAGCAGGGTCATCCCTCCATAAATATAATAGCGATGGGCACTCTCGACGTTCCTTGTGGGTATCTATCAAGAATCACATGATCGCCTAGGATTTACCCAAAACATGTAAGTGACTACTAGAGGGCGATAAGGGCGTGATTAATAACCGAATAATGATTCTAGCTTAAACCCTATTCCTACCTTAATGATCCGATATAACTGCGGGTCACACCGTCTCGAAAGTCGTCGATTGAACAAATACTGTTGTAGCGTCGGAGCGTAGATCTATTAGGCGATTTACGCAACTCCGGGTTATATTGGTCATCCCTGTGCACTTTGATATAGGGAAGATTCTAATGCTATACTCAAAATAATAAAATTATGTCACGTTACAAGCTCCGCTATAGCGCCGATAGAACGTGTTACCAATGAGCAGTGTAATGATGGTATGGTTATCCCCGTGGTGTCAACAACAACGAAATTACGGGAAAAATGAGCGGTCATCTCTGGGCCTTTCCAAGTACCCAATGGACTGGAAGGGAAAGAGAAAGTAAGGTCAAGTCGAGGAGAGGAAAGAGATCCATTTATAAAATGATATGATCATGATAACGTTAGAAAATCACGAACGCGTTAAATTCGTTGTAGTTTAAACAATAAAAATCTATCTAAGGCCAGAAATATAGTGTGAGAATACTGCCTTTTCCTATAACTTAGCACTTTTACCCAACAAAACCAACGTGGGAGTGACTGGACATACGACTTAACACATTTAACATGGGAGAAGAATGGAGGGAAAAGAAACGAAAAGGCCGATAACGTGTACTTACGTGGTTATGAAGACATGAACGTATCATGGAAGCATTGCTTGAGTAGATTTTAGATACTGTGTGTCCGTATTGCGAGCCAAAAGAACGCAACGACCACCCTGCGGCTAGCTAGCCTCAGTATAGTGGCTAGCAGGGGTAGTCATAGTTGTTTAAATGGCTTGACTCTTTATTAAGGAAGAGTACAACTCAGCAAAGGGAACACACGAGACAATGTCGCTGAATTCTGGCCAGAGGCTGGTGGTTGACCTGGGCAGTGACTGCTGGGAGCGAACTGGAGGGTCAGACGATGTCAGATGTAATCGTCATCTAGGTCCTTGCTGGTGTGTTATATAGGCACATAGTCTATTGGTTTAATAAACTGTTCTTATGTACACACCATATATACATATATGTGTGTGTGTGTATACATACATATATATATATATGCATATATATATATACAAGGGGTGCTCATTAAAGATTTCTCCTGACCCACTTCCCATAGATGTACAGGAATGATACGTCGTAGTTATTAGTATTTCTTTGCAAAGGTCCCACCAAGAGTGATTCTCCCATCATTTTATGCAGCTATCTCATCATCTTGGAAAAGTTTGCCTTCAAAAATGACTGTATGGATGGAAAGAGTTAAAAGTCAGATGGTGCAAAGTCTGGAGAATAAAGAGGATGAGGAAGGATGTCGTAGCCATAGGACTACGCTACCATCTGGAAAATCTGAGAGTTATGAACAGATATTTTCCTGTAGGAGGCGGATACCTTTGGTCAACGTTCCGCATCTCTTGGTTTTGATAGCCTCCCGCAATTTCTATAGTGAAGCACAGTAAGCTCACGTAATTGTAGTATCTTTTTGACTGATTGATATATTAATATAGAAACTGATATAACGTGGCGGGGTTCGTCTTTATACCAAAGACACAGTCCCGTGCTAC